AAACCAACACCACCACGAGGCTCGGAAAGCCCCCGCGACCAAACCCCAGCCAAAACCACCGGAAAACACCACCCCACGCGCTCTCACGCGCCTATCGGAGGTGGCAGTTTCCGGCGAGATCTGTCTCACGCGCCGGCGCGTGAGGGCTTTTCTGATCATATTTTTTTGAGATTTTTTTGACAGTTGGGGTCGTCCAGCCAATCCGACCAGGCCCATACTGTTTTTGACCAGATCCGATCGCCGGAATTAGAGTTCCAGCTATTTCCAGGCAGTTTCCGGCGACTTTTCTTCGAGATTTGAATTTTCCGAGACAAATTTAGCATAATGTCTTTTGGGTGTGATGTTTTTGGTTCCAAAAATATGGGGATTGGAAGTTCTAGCCCTATAATCACTTCAGAACTTTTATTGGGAAGTTCAAACTATTTATCTTGGGCTTCCTCGGTTGAGTTGTGGTGCAAGGGTCAAGGTGTCCAAGATCACTTAACGAACAAGGCTTATGAGGTAGATGTAAAGGCAAAGACTAGTGAGGAAGATGCAAAAGCCAAAGCACAATGGGAGAAAGTAGATGCTCAATTATGTAGTCTCCTATGGCGTTCTATTGATTTCAAGTTGATGCCCTTGTTTCGCCCATTCCAGACGTGTTATACAGTTTGGGAAAAGGCTCGTGCTTTATACACTAATGACATATCTCGATTCTATGATGTGATATCTCGATTGACCAACTTAAAGAAACAAGAATCCGATATGTCTACTTACTTAGGACAGGTACAGGCAGTCATGGAGGAATTTGACACATTAATGCCAGTTACTACGAATGTGGAAAAACAACAAGAACACAGACAAACATTGTTTCTAGTTCTTACTCTTGCTGAACTTCCCGAACCAAGCTCGAGGAGACTGTTTTAGACCTGGAGCAACCACCTGGTTTTGTTGCTCAGGGGGAGTCTAGTAGCCTTGTATGTCGATTGCGCAGGTCACTCTATGGTCTAAAACAGTCTCCTCGAGCTTGGTTCGGGAAGTTCAGCACAATAATTCAGGAGTTTGGCATGACTCGTAGTGGAGCTGATCACTCTGTGTTTTATCGGCATTCTGCACCAAGTCGATGTATCTATTTGGTTGTTTACGTTGATGATATTGTTATCACCGGTAATGATCAAGATGGTATCACCGATTTGAAGCAACATCTCTTTAAGCACTTCCAAACTAAAGACCTTGGCAGATTGAAGTATTTTCTAGGTATTGAGGTTGCTCAGTCTAGATCAGGTATTGTTATTTCTCAGCGCAAGTATGCCTTAGACATTCTTGAGGAGACAGGGATGATGGGATGTAGACCTGTTGACACTCCTATGGATCCGAATGTTAAACTTCTTCCAGGACAGGGGAGCCACTTAGTAATCCTGAAAGGTATAGACGACTTGTTGGAAAGTTGAATTATCTCACAGTGACTAGACCTGACATCTCTTTTCCTGTGAGTGTTGTAAGTCAGTTTATGACTTCCCCTTGTGATAGTCATTGGGAAGCAGTTGTTCGTATTCTGCGATATATAAAGTCAGCTCCCGGTAAAGGACTACTCTTTGAGGATCAAGGCCATGAGCATATCATTGGATATACAGACGCTGATTGGGCAGGATCACCCTCTGACAGACGTTCGACATCCGGATATTGTGTTTTAGTAGGAGGTAATTTGGTGTCGTGGAAGAGCAAGAAACAGAATGTGGTTGCTCGATCTAGTGCAGAATCAGAATATCGAGCAATGGCGACAGCAACTTGTGAGCTAGTTTGGATCAAACAGTTGCTGGGAGAACTAAAATTTGGCAAAGTTGATAAGATGGAACTTGTGTGTGATAATCAAGCGGCTCTTCATATCGCATCAAATCCAGTGTTTCATGAAAGGACTAAGCACATTGAGATTGACTGTCACTTTGTCAGAGAAAAGATACTCTCGGGAGATATTGTTACGAAATTTGTGAAGTCAAATGATCAGCTTGCAGATATCTTCACCAAGTCCCTCACATGTCCTCGTATTAATTACATCTGTAACAAGCTAGGTACATATGATTTGTATGCACCAGCTTGAGGGGGAGTGTTAGAATAGAAATAAGTATTTCCTACTTAGAATAGAAATAAGAATAGGAATAGGAATAGGAATAAGAATAGGAATCCTAGTTGGAAAAGGATTCCAATGTAGTGTCTATAAATAGGGTCTCAATGTAACTATTTAGATACACAATTCAATAATATTTTTCGTATATATTTCTCACAGAGCTAATACTTTTGCAGATCGTAGAGCTAAGAAGGTAGGTGGGAGTTGACATTCAGTTGGAATTGCTGTCTGTGAATGTTATTATTAGGTTTCTTTCATTTCACTCTCATTCTTGGATGGATAATTGAGTTACTAAATGCATTATGTCATAAAAGATTGCTCGGTTCAAATGCCAAAGAGCTGCTGAGTCAAAACTACTAGAATTGAAGGAGCGGAAGGAGCGTCGTGGGCGATCAACTAAAGCATCTGCATTGTCTACTCCTGTTGTGTCTGGAGAAGATGATGTGTTGGATGACGATGGTGACGAAGAAAGGGAGGTTAGTAAACATCCTTGTTTATGTCATGTGCATGAGCACTGTCGCTTCTTTCCTTGTATCTTTTCTTTTTTTCTATGTTGCAACTTCTGTCACATTGGCTGCTCTTTATGCCAAGTCATGCTTGCTGTTCGATGTGACTAATCAGTGCCTTTGAGAAATGGTTACTCATAAGATGAAAGATTTCCATAGAACTTTGAGAATGTTGCTCATTATAAAGTGGTCACTTGGCATGCTCGCTTCTTATTTTAGCAAGTAAAGGTCATATACTGGCATATCAGTGTTTGCTGATTCAGCATTCATTGATGGTTGGTTTGTATTTGCATAAGCATTCATCATTTGCTTCTTGGGTTGTCTGCAAGAAGAGCCTATGATCACCTTTTGATTCTAATTTTCTCAATAGAATTTGCTGATGAATCAATGATGTAACCTACCAACATTTTGTATGTGAATTCTGTAAAGAATCATGATTCTTCCTTTAGATATTATTTAATGTGTTCAATTCAACCAACTAAAATACATATTTCCAGTTTGTAATGTAATTTGCTGTTGCGTTCTTTTGATTATTTACACTCAAATTTGGCTACAACTTGCATAAAGTATCTGATTATTGGGATCTACTACCATTTGCAGGCATGGCTTACAACCATCTCCTTGGCCCTCAGTAAGGTTAGCTCAGATTCTGAGTTTCTGGCAGTACTTTTATTTCTTTTGTATGTCCATTACCTTATCTTTATCATAACAGGCTTTTGATCTGCTTGAAATGCTGAACAAAGAGGAGGAAATGCTATCTGCTATTAAGGAAAAGCAGCTTCAGGTACAAACCTAAATTGATTGGCATTCTTCTTAGGGCCTGTTTGTTATTGTGTTGTGTTAGCCTCCGTTCTGTAATAGCAATTCGATTTATGTGTTCAACTCGCGTTTTGCAGCTTGAAACAACATTAAGTGCAACACTTTTCCAACTCTGAACTTTCTCTAGTATCGTTGTCTTATCTTATAATTTTGCATCATGGCATACTCTACTTGTGCAGGACGGGGAGAAAGAATTTTCTCAGCTAGTACTTGATGAACGCACCAAAAAAGTAGAAACCTGGCACCGTGATGCTGCTGCTCGAGCTCCCTACACAAAACCTGCAGCACCTATCACCTGTGCTACTTTCGCGCAAGATGTCATAGAGGGAAGGGCCAATGTTTCACAGGCGCATGAACATAAACACAAACCCTTAATTTTTGGACCTGCAAGTGTTGTTGGTAGGAACCCAACAACCGAACGAGAAAAAATAGCAGCACAGGTTTTTCAGCCTCATTATAGGTACTTTCTTTTAACCAAAAACTAAAATGCTCAATTTGCAAGATAAAATAATAAGCTCCGAGTCGATCATAACATCTTCATTTTAAATACTAGATTAGCAACCATGAGCATAGAGGAGGCTGGGCTAACAGAGATGAACATGATGAACGAATGGCAAGAGAGGAATGTAAAACTCATGGAAGAAGCAAATTCTTCATGGCACAGGGATGCCCCAAAGTTGCGGCCAGGTGAAGAGGACGAAGAAGATGATGACGCTGCTCAAGACAAGGCAAGAGCATGGGATGACTGGAAGGATGATAACCCCCGTGGTGCTGGCAACAAGAAACTCACTCCTTGTGGTTAAGGAAGCAGTTGCAGCGGACAGTTGCAGCAAGACATAATTAATTAGACTTTCCTGTTAGTTGTACACCAAACTTATCAATAAGTTTAAACCCGTTCTGTTTCCAGTTTAAATGTACTAAAGTTTACGCAGGTTTTGCTGTATGTACTAAATTAGATGGCTGATGTATTGTACAGTAGTTCTAGTGGAAATGTATTGATGTCAATATCTCCAGAAGTGACAAATGATGAACTTTAGGTGTGAGTATATTACGTATGAAACACAATTTCCTGTTGCATCCGATTACCAATGCAATATTAAATTGTACTGGTGCCCAGATAGGTTGCTCAGGCTAAGTGAAGGGTCAAATCTTGTATGTGAACTGTGCACATCCCCTTTTTTCAGTGACAACCTTAATGCTAATTGCTCCCTCATGTGGTATGGCTTGTTGCTATTTTCTAGCTCAATCTTGGTCCGACAGATCCCTTTCCTTGATGTTAAGTGTAAACTAGTTGGGTCTATTGTCACTTCACCGCACGGTAGACACAGTTCACACATTTGAGAATATACATCACAAACCAACATGATTGAATCAGACTCTTCAGTTGTTCTAAATCACTAAGTCTAAGTCATGGAGTTAACAAAGCATGGGTGTTTCTTGGTCAAAGTCACACAATTCACCACATTTATGAGCACTATGAAATACAAGAATCAAAAGAAAGATTTCTTGAAGGATAGAATCAAGAAGACAAAAACATGTGCCGTCATATTGAACTTCAGTTACAAATCAAACTACTCAACATTAGTTCTCAAATATTCATAATTTTGTGAGTCATCTGAACCTACTATATCACTCCCATTGCAATAAGACACTTCTAGTTGTGCCTTAAACTCGAGCCAAGGCCTCTCTAATCTCCAAAGATCAGCTATCTGACAATTCTCCCCTAAGTTCAACCAAGAAATTAGCCTGGATAACTCTTTTTTGTTCACCTTGGGACTCAATCCTTTTACAGCAATCCTTGCATCACGAAATGCTGGGAAGCACTTCTGCTTTGCAAATTCATGGCACTTCCCCTTTGCTGCTTCAAGGCAAGCCTCCATTTCACGTTCTTCACATCTCGCCCTCTCTGCAAAGTCTTGATTGGAAGCACTGCCAGTGAATGATTTCCACCAAGGAGTTTTACATTTGTCTGAGGCTGCGATAGAGCAACCAATCCTAGCTCCAGATTCACATTGTTGAGTGACTTGAGACTCACAAGCCTTGTATGCAGAGGCCCAGGAGATAGGGTCTTTAAATGCGAGGATGAATCGACCAGCTGTTTCTTCTTGTGAGCCAGCCTTGATGGGACCTCGAAGTAGAGGGACTGGTTGGTCAAAAGGAATCAGAGTCTTTGATGCAGAGTACTCCTCGAGGTTGATTGATGGCACTTCTGGTTGTGATCGTTCTGGTGCTGTCATATAGGCAGTTTTGTTTGTTCACAATTTTGGGTCCTGAAGAGAAGAAACCTATATCAGGATTATCATGATGCTGAAAGTAGTTTTCTTAAGGCTAAATTAATATCATCACCAATAAATGCACCTGCAACAAGGACATTTGGATAAGGAGCTTTTCAAACTTATGGTATTCTGTATAGATGGTTGGGTATGTTTTTGATTAAATGTTAGGAAAACAATTGTACGTAAATCATCTTAAGATAAAGGAGTTGTTTTTGAGAAACAAGATTTTTTGCTACTGGTACTCCATCAACGTTTTTGGATTGTCTTCCAATAACAAGTTTGGTTTTTGAAATAGACATGAGAGTTGTTTTGGAAAAAAACTTCATTGGAAAACGTCCCGAATAGTGTCTATATTCATGAATATCTAGAAGTTCTCCCAACACAAGGGGCTCATACTTCATGGAATCATGCAAAGTGACATGAACTGCAGGGAACTGAATAAACTGATAATCGTATGTATATGCCAGCGGAAAAAAGGGGCTGAGTACAATATAAATAATTGTACCCCCTAAGTATCGTTGTCTCCTTTCGATAAGGTTGGAACGATACTTTAGGGATACATAAAATACATGATATAAGATAACTGTGACATTTCATAAAATCAATAAAGAAAAGCAATAAGCATTAAAAGCATTTTCATGTAATTTTTAAATCATTTCAGAATGTTATATCATTTCTATGCATAGAGGTTACAAATATTCATATGTATAAATCTATATGTATTACCGTTGAGTGCCTCACTCGGAACACAGAGGACTTCAGGGAGAAACAAACGGAAGCAAAACAACCAGATCAACATGAAGTAAGGCAGGGAAAGATGATGAAGAGTAGTATATGTAGCTAAAAGGAAAAGTTGCTGCGTTGGCAGTACGAGTCAAGGAGATGCAGTTACGGAAGAAGATCGACGCCATATCTACCTTTAATTTTGTTAAGCTAAATCAACCCAATGAATCTTTTAACATGGTGTGATATTGTCCGCTTTGGGCCAAATCCACATGGTTTTTTTCAAAATGCCTCACACAGTTAGGAGACCACACACCTTATATGTAGCTTTCCAATCTTTTTAAGCTACCAATGTGAAACTTTGTTTGCACGCCCAACAAAATTTGTTGCCGAATTTATCACATTACCCATCACCGATATCTTCATCAGAGGATGTGCTCTGGATTTCTTGAGTGTTTCCTCTGTACATCTCAGAAATCCCCGCCCCAGTTTAATTTTTGTAATGATTCTGTATAAATGACTGTTGTGAACATGGGCAACTCACATAATTCTTATTGACCAGTTATTTGGACCAGGGGCTAAAACGCGACGAGGCGAAGAAATAAGTCATCCCAACAAGGGATTTACTTGGGATCCAGGTTGAGTATGGAAGCAGGTGACAATGGGATAGAAGGGTTGTCGTCTACAACCTTTGGGATTTTCATCCTCTTTCTGTCTAACCCCTATATCCTATCCTTGTACCCTTTCTATCAATAATAATGTTTTGTTATCATTATTCCTTATTTCAGTTTATTAGAGTAATACAATCAAAGAACTTTGTTTACTGTGAATTGAAGTAGCGTTTGCTAAAATGACATTGCCTAGTTTTTCTTCATTTCCTTTCAAAAATTGAGCTCAAATCTCAATCGAGCAGAGATCCTGCCTCCTCCTAGAAGCATGTAAAAATGTAAACTTGCACATAGAGTGAGCAATCAAACAGGTTTAACAATATATCTATACAAAAGAACACATTAGCACATTGTAACTATCCAATGAGTGAAAACATTCCATTCCAATTAAGTTTAACAATAAAAAATTGAAGAATATATAAAAAAGTTTAGAGATGAACAAAACATACATACAAATTGATAGAGAGAGCTTGAGAAAGAGTTGGCAGCCATGGGAGACGAAATACTCGAGCTTAATTTGAGGATCCGATTGTTACTTGTTCATCTAACACTAGAAGAGGATTGGGCCCCCAATTCTTTTGCTTTACATGGGCCTCAAAAACTATACATAAATTTTGAAACAACTCTTTAGTAAATGACCATTCTTTGATAAACACAATTCTTGCAATTTACAAGATTGAACTGAAAATTATATGAGAAAATATTATACTATAATCTAAAATTTGGTAAATTGTTTAAATGTTCATCATCTTCTAATATTTTGTTGGTGAGGTTGAGAAAAACTAAATATCGAATGAGAAAATGTTATACTATGGTATAAAATTTTGTAAGCTATTCAAATTTTAAACGACAATCTAATATTTTGTCTATAAGATTGAAAAAAAATGTGACTATGAACAAACATTATGCTCTAGTTTAATGTAATTTGAACGAGTAATTTCTTAAAAGGCTGTCTTTGCACGTTTTTTAAAAATATGGAAAAATTATAATGATATCCTAAAGAGGTATATTTGTGTATCGGCCTATTTTTAGAAATACAATAACACAAGTCAATAATTATATTTACATAGTCGCCATTCGTTTTGGAACAATATTTATATAACTTTGTGCATGTTAAAACAAATACGTTTAAATAACATGTTATAGCAAATTAATTATTGTCACATTATAATTAAGTAAATTAAATGCATTTTCTTCCGTGTAATCAGACACTTAAAAATAATGAGAAATTAATGTAGTAGCATGAATGCAAGTTAAGAACATAATATGTCTAGATTTATTAAGTCAAGCTTGACTAAAAACATTTCACAAGTAATGTCAATCAATATTTTACTATACGAAATATTACTACTCTTCTTTTAAGCCACGTTATATTATAAATTTTGGCACATATATTTTTTCTCAATCCACAAGAATGAAATAAACAAATACTTATTTCAAAATTACCTTTTTTCATTAAAATGACTTACTTTCCATTTTAATCGATTTTAAAAAAAGAATAATTCATTATTTTTATAGCAATGATTTAATTTCAGTTTTTTCGTATGACATATTTAAGGTCACATATATTGATACTATAACTTTAATTTAGAATTACAAAAAAAAAAAAAAAAAACTTTATTTTCTTAAGGGAAAGGGGTCAAATATGCCCTAAACTATTCAAAAAAGTCTAGATATACCCCTCGTTAAAATTTGGCTCACTTGTGCCCTCACCGTTCAACTTTTCGCATTTGCCCTTATGGGCGTTAATTGATATGCTGGAAATATCCAACTCATTTTCCCTTTATTTAAATGTCAAATGGAATTGCCACATCACTTTAAATTACCACGTGACATTTTTATGAAAATGGAAAGGGATCAATTATGCCCCTAAAATATTCGGATCCATACCGTATCAAAAGAGGTGTCGGATAAGTTATTTAAAAGAGGGGTTGATTTATGAGTCAGATTGTTGTATATGGGTCCGAATATTTAACGGGAATAATTAATCCCTTTTCATAAAAATGCCACGTTGTAATTTATAGTGACGTGACAATTCCATTTGACATTTAAATAAAGGGAGAATGAGCTGGATATTTCCAGCATATCAACTAACGCCCATAAGGGCATATTTATGCAAAAAGTTGGACGGCAAGGGCACGAGTGAGCTAAACTTTAAACGAAGATATATCTAAGCCTTTTTGAATAATTTAGGGGCATATTTGATCATTTTCCCTTTTCTTAAATATGGGGCTTTTTAGTGGAACTGAGGCCATACTTTCAATTCACTTTCGATTGCCCAATAATTCCGCCAGTCCCGCCTTTTTCTCCCTCTTTTCACTGATTTCAAATATTTTCGCTAAGCCCAAAAAATAAGAGATTATAAATATAGGCTCTCTCCTATATTCCCTCATCCTCCCGCCACTGTACACACTGTACGGACGCCGCCGCCGCCGCCGCGACCTACTACTGCATCTCTTCAGATATCCCAATGCCTAGCAAACGGAAATCTTCTCCGGCAACAAAGCCAGAGTCTTCATCCGGCAGCAGGAAGTCGAAGAGACTTGTAGTTGAAAGGCCAGATCCAGTAGTAGCTCAACCAGCTGATTCCGATTTTGAACAGGAACCTGTTTTATCATCAACGAAGAAATCCAAGAGACGAACAACAGCTGAAAGTTCAGTGGTAGCTTGTCAATCGGAAAGCAATAACAAGAAGTTGAAGAAGCCAGCTGTAGAAAAGGTAGAATCTGGCGTAGCTTCACCAGCTGATAGCGATTTCGTATCTGAGTCTAATTCGGCGACGCCGAGCAAGAAATCCACGAGGCAAGCTGCAGTAAAGGTGGAACCTTTGGTGGATTCTGTAGCTGAGAGTGATTTTGTGGAGGAGGAAGATGTAGATGGAATGGAGCTAGGGAGTCTGAAGAAGAGCTTGTCGATTTCACCTTCAAAAAGGAAGCCTATGAGAGCTGAGAAAGTGAAAGATGAAGAGTGTGCACTTGCCGGTGACCCTGTTCCGGATGCAGAAGCTAGAATGAAGTGGCCTCATCGCTATGTAAGAAAGATTCTTACTTTGAGATTTTTAACATTCTTTACTTTGAAATATTTGCAATTTAGTTGCAAAAATGTTTAATATAATTTTAAATAGCATGAAATTATGCTTTCTATATGGTATATCTGACATTCTGCTGCCAAACTTGATGCTACCTTTGAAGCTTCTGAATAAAAAGCATACTTTAAGTGACCGTTGTTGATGGTCTATCTGTCTGTTTTTATTTGGCATCATTAGTGTTTATTTAATATTTTACTTACATGGCTGTTTTTTTTTTTTGGTAAACAGAACAAGGGGAAATCAAATGGTACCAAGAGCTTAAATGGGTAAGTCTTGAACTACTATCCATCACAACATCATTTTTGTTATATTTTTTTATTTTCAAGGATTTATGTGTTTTTGATACTTTCATGTTACAGTCAAGATGATCCGGACCAGTTAATTCAAGCTAAGTGCCATTTTAGTCGAGCGGATGTTGATGGTCAGATTTATTATCTCGAGGATGATGCACATGTGAAGGTAAAGTGTAAATTCACCATAAACATATGTTATTCAGGTCCTTCACTGTGTTGATATACTCTCTATAATAGGTTTGATAGGA